CTGAGCTTCCAATACAAGCCTAAATCCCTTTATTCCTGCTCTACATTTAGATAAAGAAAATATTATGAGGTAAGACAAGAAGCAAGTGGGATTTAGCACTGATGCCATTCCTTAATCTTAAATAAGATGTCAGTAACTTGAGAGCATCTGGGAAGAGCCAGGAAGACTTCCAATACAGGCCAAGATCTGGTTTAAACTTCTAAATGAGCCCTTTAAACCTCCAGGTCCCAGCAGCTTTCTAAAAAATGACAAAGTTGAAATAGATGGTCTCAAAATAAATTTGCAAAATGGAACAGGGAAAAGGAATTGAGTAGTGAGTGGCCCAGAATCCTAGAACTCCTTTGCCACTGCCTAGGGCCCAAGCTCTTTCCTTCCCTGAGGTCTGGGTGGAAGGCAGCTGCCAACAGAGGAATTGGCAGCATTTGAGGATGTCACTGATTTGATGAGTCATTTGATAATTGCTTACACAGTGCTCACTTATCAGCCCCTCCCTGAATTGAAAGCATCAGAACCCTAATCATTAGGAGACTCTAAGACCCAAAGCTCATTCCTTGGTGATAGCTTGTTTGCCTTAAAAAAAAACAAAACCAGATATAAGATATGAATAATAGATTACTCCATTTCAGAGAGGCTAAATGACTTTGAGAGCCCTTTCCTCAGGTTGCGACTTAAATTGGCTTAAGGCCTATTCTTCACATTCTCAGGTAAGACATTCACTTGCTCAGTTTCAGGTTCCAGTTCGGCTCTATCATATCTTACCCACCTTCTCATACAGCAACAGAACTCTTTATAAACGTGACTTCTTGACTAGTAAGGATCCATCCATATGCAATTGCTTTATTTTTAACAAAACTTCTGCCTTGCCTGGCTATGATAGAATCAAGATAAAAGAGAACATTCCTAAGGGAGAAAATACTACGATCTGGCATCACAAATGTGACTTACATGCTTTTGGTCTATTTTTTTCATGCCAGTATGCCCTGTACCTTGAGAAGACTCCACCCAATTACAACACAATGATAAATCTGGGTTCAATAGGCAAAGAAAGGTAATTTTTTTCTAGTGATAATATCAACAATATAAAAATTGAAGGAAAAAAGAAAAAAAGAAAGATAAAAAATATATATATCAACAATAGCCCACTTGGGGGAGGGAGTGACATGGGACTTATACACCTCAATATTTTGCATACTTTTTCTGGCCCTTACAAGTCATTATTTATATTTGTTCTTCTAAAAGAGCTATTATTCAAACTCACCGAGTAGCCTTGCTGAAAAGAGAATTTAGAGGTGATCACCTCACTTCCAATTTTCCTTCATTATATCTCACATGTTATACTGTCTGAGACGCAATCTCGTGTGATTGCAGCTTACCAGATGTTCTCATCTTGATTTTAATACTGATATGCTAACATTATTGATTATGTAGAAAATCAAATTGTATGCTTCTGCAATATCTTTAAAGTTCACTGGGCACTTTGTCTGAAGCTTAGTTAAATGTTCCCTTAATTCTAAGTGCACTGGCTGGGGCCCCAGCAGAATCTCTGCCTTGGTTTTAACAGTACAAGCTGCTACAAGCTGCACTGGGTCTTCAGTACAGTTTGTACTGTTAACAGACTGTACATAAGAAATACTGCCACTCCCACTGTCTTCAGATACAATCACGATGCAGCGGCTCTATTTGTGCAGATGGTCAGTACAGTTTTCCCTTGGACATTGATTAGGGTAAAGTACATTCAATGCCTTTTAGACAGTTTATGATGAGCCTGGCAGCCAAGGTTTCCAAACCCCTCAGACCCACTGAGAATTTCCCTGTTTCTCAGGACTCCTTCAAGAGTGTGGTGGCTAAACTGAGCCAGCAGCTCCTGGGCCCCAATTCCATCTCTGGCCAGAGGCCCCCGGGATGTGCATGTACCAAAGGGCTGAGGGAGGAGCATTGACACCCAAGGGAGTATCCCAGAAACCTCCTAGAAATGGAGTCCGGCCCCTGGTCCTCCACAGCGATCCAGATACCTCCTGAAATCCCAAATACAAGGTGATGACCCTTTTCACCACTCCTAGGGAGTCTATGGAAGCACTTTAGGAATTTCATAAACTCTCTATTAATTTATATAAAATGTGTATATATACATTATCCTGGGGAGGGCCGCCACAGTGAAAGTGCAGAGTCCTAACCACTGGACCACCAAGGAACTCCCTATCTTTTTTTTTTTTAAATCTCATCACAGGAGAGCTCTGTGGAAGTCTCCCAAGTAGGTATTACTGGAACAGAGAGACACAGTTAGGCCAGTTCTGTCACAGATGAGCCCTGAATCTCGGAAACCTGGCCATATCCAATGTATGTGATGGGCATCCAGATGCCAAGCTCCAAGAGATGTCCCTGAACTTGTAGAGACTCTTACTGATCATCCCAAGTATGGTCTGGTCCTTGAAGGGACTATTTGCCCCTGGATATCAAAGAGACAAACTCAGAAGAGGAAAAACATAAATGCTCTGAGTCTCCAGCTAGCTACATTCATCAAGGCTCCAAGCCAAGCCTCCAGGACTGACCTCCGGGCAGAAAGAGGGGAGTGAGAGCCACTGAAGAGGAGCAGTCATCGTCTCAACCCGGCCCCTAAGACCCCGGGCCAGAGGGGCTCCCTCCAACCCCTCCAGAGAGGGAGGGCCGGTCGCTACCGCCAGTCCCTCCCTCATGTAATGCCCAAGGATTTCCTGGATCCTGAAACAATACTGATCTTGCAGAAGGAAGCAAGGCCCACAACTGGCCCAGAAAGCCCACTGGAAAATGAAGTTTGTGTCCTGGCAGGGCACAGCCTAATCTGGAAGCTTCAGACATGGAAGATACTTTGAAGCCAAGGGCTCTTTACACTCTGATTCTCAAACTTTATTGTGAGTTTAAATGTTTGTTAAGTAGTGCAGATCCCTAGGCCCAGGGGACTGTGATCCAATACTTCTGGGGTAAAACTCAGATATTTACATTTTTTTTAAAAAAAAGAAACTAGTAATTGTGATCTCTGGAGTCCATAGAAGGTATACTATATACCTTTACAAACAGTTTCTCTGGGCTTAGAGGCTTCAGATGTAGAGATGGGGCTAGATCAAGTGAACCCCTTCCCCATCCCCACTACTCCCCTCAACAAAATAAAAGCAGAGGCTTCCAGTTACCTTCTCTATGCCAGATATTATGCTAAGTCTTCTACATGGATTATTATTATTTTTTTTTTACATAGATTATTTTATTTAATCCTTATCACCCTGAAGTTCAGGGAAAGTAAGTCACTTGCCTAAGATCCCTCAGCTCTGAGTACCTGAGTCAGGTTTGGGACCCAGATCTGAATCCAGAGTCTGTTCTTAACCAACAAGCATTACAGTGCCTAATAATCCGATGACTCTGAAAGAAAAGCTATGAAGCCACATCCCTTCCACAGCTGAGTCAGGGCAGAAGGCCATGGGCCACAAGGTGAGGCAGCATCAGCACAGGAGAGGACAACTGCACAGGCTCAAAGGTCCAGAGCGGAGCCAGACAGAAGGAACTAAGGATAAGTTGGGCTGACAAGGTAAGGACTACACTCCCGGAGTGCAGGAGGAGCAGCGGACATAGATGAGGAATGCTGGACAAACAGGGCTTCAAAGGAACTGACCGGCCTCAGAGAAATCAACAGAAGTCACAGAAAGTTTCGATCAGCACAGGCCCAAGGCCCCAGCAGGCCTATGATACCTGCTGGTTAGTACTACATTTTACTGCTCAGTTGAGGGGGAATGTAATGAGTTCTGTGCACTAGAATCAAGACCCACTGTGGAGCCCAGGATCTTTTATAGATACTCAGATCTTCATCCTTTAAAGGGGTATAACAATAGGGCCTATCCCAGAATTACACACCATGAGAAGATTTGCATAAAGGTACTTAGCATAATACCAGAAACAAAGAAATCGGACAAGTGTTAGCTGCTGTAATCATTAATTACTACTAATTATAATTGTACTCATACTCAACCAAAAAACCACCATGGCATCTGTTTATTTGTGAAAGAAACCAAGGTCAAATGTGGTCTCCATGGATTAAGGTTTTCCTTTCTTCAGAGAGAAGTTATTGTTAAGAAGATTTGGTGCAGGGCAGCGCGGGGTGGGGGGGTGTTTCGTTTTTTTTTTTTTTTACAAACAAGAGCAAAAAAGTCACATCACCAAATAGATCAATAATTGATCAAAAATAATGTTTTAGATTTCCCTTCACCTTTAGTTCTGATGTTACCCAAAAATCAACTTAATCCAACTGTTCTATCCAAATTTGTTCTGAGGAAAAAGTGAAACCATGCAACTTTTTCACTCAACAACTACTTTTTTGTGCATCAGAACTGACTCTGTGACTATTAGCTGAACTCCTGATAGTTTTCAATTACCTAATCAGACAACAGACCCAAGCAGGCCAACCAAGAAGACTTGATCACTGAAATGGAACAAATATATTGCTGAGTACTCCTTACCATCCAAGTGCTCCTGATATTAGAAGAAAATTCCATCCCTATACCTTGTCACCAGCCTGTTTGCTCAGAGTGAAGGAGAAATAATGAGACAGGCTTCCTGAGAAAGCAGCATTTGAATGATGGAAAGGAATGAAGGGGACAGAAGAAACAAAATGTCCCCTATGGAAGAGGGAAAGAGAGAGAGATTACAGACCAGATTCGGATCTGAGAACAATCAGTGCCTTTGGGGCAAACAAGAAATCATTATGTCTGCTCTAATAAAACGGCACCGCCTACCTCTGAGGAGAGAATAAATGTAAAGAACAGGACTATAAGCAGCTCTCTGCTTCCGTATTCTGTGTTTGGTCAGTTTGAACAAGGCTTTGTTCCCCATTAGTCAGACCTGACGTGACTCCTGGAGATCATGGGCCAGGCCTATCCCTGCCACCCTCACCAGAGAACACACCCACGACAAACCCAAATTCCTAATTCCTGAACTATTTCAGGTCATGCCATATTGTGCATTCAGAAATACAAGCTTTGTAAAAAAAGAAAAAATGCATGTTTTAATTCAAGAAATGAAAGTTCACATGCAATCCAGAACAGGTGCCAGGAATTTGCTCTCAACAATCAGGCACATGTGCTACAGAAGGTCAGGCTCCGCAGAATTACTTGGACCAGTGCTTCCTGAGGTGCTCCTTCAGCTGAGGGATGGAAGGCAGCAGCTGCCGGCACTCGTGACAACGGAGGGGCAGCTTCAGGAGCTCGGGCATCCCATCTCGGACGGTCACTCTGCCAGCCTCTTGCACCATCTCAACCACAGCTGCAAGGGAAAAATGTTCAGAGTCCAGCTACTCTGGAAAGCCAAGATACAAAAAAAAAAAAAAAAACGGAAAACCTGATTCCAAATATGCCAAGTATCCTTAAATCAAGTAAACCTGAGGGTTACACTCACTGTTGGGAAAATATGCTTGGACAGATTCTAAATCTGAGCAATGGGTTTTGTTTGTCTGATTTTTTGGCAGCACCACACAGCTTGTGAGATCTTAGTTCCCCAACCAGGGACTGAACCCGGGCCCTCAGCAGTGAAAGCATGGGGTCCTACTCACTAGACTACCAAGGGTTCCCTGAGCAACCTATTTCTGAGATAATTCACATTCCTGTAGAATACATTCTAAGCAATCCATGTTACTACGTCAAAGGCTTATTATCACAGGGCTTTACCCCTAGTTAGCCCATGGTCATAATTAACATTCCAGCATACTTAAGTTCCACAGTATACACAATGGAAAATTCTTCCTTTCTACATATAGACAGGCTTCCCCTGTTAAATAGTCACTCTTGACAGAAGGCAGCCGCCAAGCTCCTCCCAGCTGCTGGCAAAAGAAAGAAAAAACTGTTCAGAGCTTTCAGATCCATGAACTCCAATAATTCTCTGGACGACCTTTTTAAGTCCCCCATTGAATTTTTTCTGACTCCGACATAACAGCATTCTACATCCCCCAAGAAGGCTGCTCACAGCAAAGTGGCAATCCTACTAAAATCCAAATGATCAAGTTTCTGTTAATGGGGTTCTCTGTATAGGCAACACAAAGTTGTATGTGAGCTTTCAAAGCCAAGTTATTATTTAGGGAAACAACTGAATCAATTATAAGAACAGCTGAGAAACTAAAACAAATGTAAAAATTAAACAACACTGTTAAAAAATAAATAAACAACATTGTTTACCTTGTGATTCGAGGAAGTATTCGGTATTGAAAGAATTCCAGTGTTTTTTGTTTTTAAGGCAAGGAGAATCAAAATCCTGGCTGATCACATGGAGGTGTACATGGCTATTTGAGAGGAAACAAAGATTTACCATTAAAGCTAGCTTAATCAGAATGCCAAAAAGTCAAAGTATGAGTATGCAAAATATTGACAGTGTTTCCACTTAACTCCATTCATTCATCTATTCACTTAAGAATATTTACTGTGCATGAAGTACCTATTAGGGTCAAAAATTGTTCTAGCACTGGGAATTTAGCAGTGAACAAAATGGGAAAGGCTTATGTCCTTATAGAAATTATGCTGTAATGAAGGGAAATAAATAATTAATAAGTCAACAAATAAACAAGGAAAATTCAAAATGTTACTTCAACAATGCTAAAAAAAAAAAAAAAAAAAATAGGGAGATGGGATGGAGAGTGCCTAGAGGGTAGAAGCTGTCTCTTCAGGTAGCTAGGATGTTCATGGAAAACCTCTCCCAGGCAGAGATTTGAACTGAGAAAGCAAAGATCTGAAAGTTTCAGGAAGTGGATAGACCACGTGTGAAGGCCCTGGTATGAAAAGAAGCTTGGTGCAACTGAGTGGCAGAAAGAAAATAACGGCTGGAATGGCTGGAAATAAGGAGCAGGCACTAGGGAGGAACTGGATCATAAAGGGTCCTATAGGTTAGCAGAGGGTTTGAATTTTATTCTGATTACACTGGCAAACCACTGAAGGCTTTTAAGCAGGGGAATGCTATTATTTGGGCTTCCTAGGTGGTGCCAGTAGTAAAGAACCCGCCTGCCAATGGCAGGAGACATAAGAGATGTGGGTTGGACCCCTGGGTCAGAAAGATTCCCTGGAGGAGGGCATGGCAACCCACTCCAGTATTCTTGCCTGGAGAATTCCATGGACAGAGGAGCCCAGTAGGCTATAGTCCATGAGGTTGCATAGAGTAGACACAACGGAAGTGACTTGGCCCACACACATGTGCTATTATCTGCTTAATACTTTAAAAGATTACTCTGGCTACTGTGTAGAGAAAGGACTATATATAGGAAGGGTAAGGATGGATATAGAGAGAAGTTAGGAGGCTGCCACAGCAGTCCAAACCAAAAATAATCATGTTTCAGACAGGAGCTATAAAGGTGGAGATGACAAGAAGCAATCCACTTTTAAATATATTCTCGAACAGAACCAACAGGAACAATTAATGGATTAGATGTGGGTTTGGGTAGGTGCCACTTGCTGGGATGAAGAAGCTTAAGGGAAAAACAGGTTTGAGGTAGAAAACCAACAGTTCTCTTTAGGACTTGTTAAACCAAAAAGGATGACTTTTTGTAAAGCTTTGACTCAGAATCAATAATATTTCACATTCTCCCAATAAATCATCAAAACCAACCAGTACCTTGTGGGAATTTAAAATGGTACAAGCAGTAACAAATAAACCTAACTATTACAAATAAAAAGGGAACCACACTGAAGGAGGTCAGAAAGAAAATAACTAACCTAATTAAGTTTGGAAAACAGTATTTTGACTTGATTCTGTAAAGATAAAAAGAACGCTATACAAATAGCGTACTGTACTGTACTCTAGTGATTAAATGTCTTTCTCACGTGAGTGTGGATAAGCAATTCTGCAACTATTTTATGTTTATACTGGGAATAAATACATAAGTGAATTAACTGTAGCTAATGAGAGCCAAACTTCTCACTACTGGAGAAAGAAATCACAAAAAAGGAAAGGGGAAGACAACAATGAACCTGTGGAACAGGACTGGATCAGAGGTATCAGCATGAACTCACATTTTTCATACACATGCACAGGTGGGTAAACAGAGAAATAAATAGAGAGGTGTATATATCCATGTGGGTTGAATTCATGCGTGTATTTCCTAGTTTCATCTGCTCAGAGAACCTAGAAGCAAAGACACTCTGGAACCAACAATTTCTCTCTATAGAAACTTCATGATCTAGTTTTGCTTTACGTCATTCTTCAATAAAAGGAACTATGGCTCTTTGGAGAAGTGGTTCATTCCAGAGCGAGAACAGGAAAAATATAAGATAAGCCTAGAATACCTTGTTACAAAAAGTAAGGGGACAGAAAAAAAGGATGTGCTCAAAAAACGTTTGGGGCAAGTCAAAGTGATACAGGAGCCAACCTAAAGGAATTTCCAATGACCAAGGCTGAAACAACATGAGCAAGAAACTAGAGACAGATTAAATTAAAACCTATATAATAAAATAAATATCCATGAGTCCATACATGTATTGAATAAATACATAATGGGGGAGAAAGGACAACTCTCCCACACAGAAAAATTCCGATTAATAAATTAGAAGGAATGAGGGAAACATAAAATTACCATGGAGTAAACACTACAACAATAACTGATGCAGGCAAGATCCACCAGTAGATGCTAAAATCACTGGGAAAAAGTCTGAGGAGAAAAAAATTTAGTAGAATAATCTTAGAACATCTCCCCCCAAGATACTGATCAATTATAAGGGAAAAATAGCAACTTTGAGTAGAAAAGCCTGGCAGACACCACCTTAATAAAGTGATCAAGGTGAACATCAGGAGCAACAAACTGTCTCAATCGACATCATGCACTCCTTGATATGATGCACTAAGACACAGTATCATTTCTGGGGTATTTTGGCAAAAAAAAAAACCCTCAATCTAATCATGGAAAAACATCAAACAAACTCCAATTGAGAACCATCCCATAAAACAACTAGCCAGTCCTCATCAAAAGTGTCAAGGTCGTGACAACAAGATGAGGAGGAGGCACTGTCACAGATCAGGGAGACAACAAATAAATGCAATGTGGGATCCTGGAGCAGAAAAAAAAATGGAAAGAATAATGGCTGAAATTTGAATAAGGTCTAGAGTTTAATTAGCGGTGATATTATGGAAGATCTTTGTTCTGCTTCATATTTTATTTTTATTTTCTAAATTGAAAATATATTACTTTTACAATAGAAAAAATATTTACTTTGTTACTTTTTCCTTCCTAGGTTTAATTTATTAAAACTTCTGAAGAGTGATCATAAAAGGATATGTGTCTGACAACTTACTGCTCATTTTGCTTCCCACTCACACCAGTCGCAGCTCTTGCCTTTAGCAATCTCCTTAGCATCCATTATACGAAAAAGGTGTGGACACCACGACTGCTATGTGAAAAGGGTTCTGTGGTCAAGGGCTGTCATCATGAGGTACGCAGCATTAGGGGAATAGGATCATGCGTGACTTTCTGCCCTATAGTTGTGAATAAGGTTTTAACAATATTTAAAAATATTTTTTAAATGAGATACAATATATTTCCACCCTGGGACCTAGCAATTCCACTTCTAGGTATTTACACTAGAACAAAAAAATGAAGTATATCCATGATACATGCAACATGCATGAATCTCAAAATCTATTACACTGACCCAAAAAAGCCAGACAAAGAGTAGACATTGTATGATTTCATTTATACGATGTTCTGGAACCGACAAAACTAATATATGCTGAAAAAAATGAGAACAGCACTTGGAGGTTAAGGGGAGGATTAAAGAAAAAGGAGCACAAAAGAACTTCCTGGGAGATGATAGAAAAGTTCTGTTCTTTATCTTGATCACAGTCATAGTTACATGGCATATACATTTGTCAAGACTGATTAAACTACAGATCTTACTGTGCATTTTATTGGATGTATTTAAAACAAAGAGTGTGGATGGGGAAAAAACGTAGCACAAAAATTTCATGTGTTAAAGTGGCCAGTAACCTAAGTCACAATTATCCACCTAATAAAATGTAAAGAATGTTGGGTGATTAAATAAAACAAAAGAAATTGACACATGTTACAGTATGGATGAACTCTGATGACACTACCCTAAAGTGAAAAAAGCCAGCCACAAAACAACAGATACTATATAATTCCATTTACATGAGGTACCCGAAGTGAAAGTGAAGGGTAGTCAAGTTCACGGAAACAGAAAGTAGGAAGGTGGTTGCCAGGGGCCGGGGGTAGATGAGGAAGATGAAAAAAAGTTCTAGAAATAGATGGTGGGGATGGTTGCATAACAATGTGAATGTACTTAATGCAACTGAATTGTTAAAATAAAATTTATATTATGTATATTTTACACCCCCCCCAAGAAAAACACCCCAAAATAAAAACTCAGAAATTCCATTAGTCCACTTATCTTGTTGCTTAACTCAAAAGAATTGGAGATCTGCCCTGCTTGCATTCTTTGAAAAGTATCAATCATTCCTTTCTGAATCCTTCCAGGTATGAGCCAAAAGGTAACAGTCTCTACACTTTTTTCTCATTTTATCTTAAATCTGAGATCTAAGCTGTCATAAAAGAAGTCAATGACACTTGTCTCCTTCAAAGCAATGGTCCCTAATCATTTAGAGGTTATTGATACGTCTGAAAAATCTGGTAAAAGTCACTTTATTACCTTCAGGTGACAGTTCTTCACCTGAAGGTAATAAAGCTGCTTCTTGTGGTTTGTAAGTTAGGTTCTCAGAGTTTACATTTGAGAAGAACAAAGAACTGTATGTTATCAAATTATAAGCAGAAGTAGGAACTCAAGGCTTGCAAGCAAGTCAGGCAAAAGCATGCAAGTTTCAGCCCACCTGCCTTGGAAACACCCCACCCAATCCCCTGAACCTCGGGGTGACCAGCAGACTCAGCAGACCCAGGCTGAATTCATCTGTCCGCCGAGATGGAACCAGAACATACCGGCACTCCCCACCAGGCTTACCTCATGCTGGGAATGGCGTGGTAGCCCAAACGGAAGCGGAGTTTGCTGGACCCAGCGAAGTCAGCAATCACTTTTTCCCCGACAGTGTGCATGTGTTTGAGGAGCTCAAGATGTTCTCTGGTCACAGCCTTCAGACTGGGAATGGAGGCCCAAGGTAAGACCAGCCAGTGGTAACGAGCCTTGGGGTATTTATCCTTTATCACCACCACCTGCTCATCTTTGTAAACCTAGCAGACGGGCACAAGAGGAGGAAACAGACGTCACCAGAACATCTTGTGTGTGCCAGGTACTGTCAGGTTCACTAACGTACTTAATTCCTGCCACAGTCCTGTGAAGAGGGTCTTAGGACCCCCATTTTGACAGATGAGAGCACAGAGACTCCGATGAGCTGCGTCATGCACCAGGTCACACAGTCACCACGCGGGACGTCTAGAACGCCAACGCGGGCCTGGTTGACTCCTGTCCGTGTTTTCAGTCACTATAACGCACAGAGCCCAGAAAAGAGGCACACTGCCAAACAGTTCCTGCGGAACTGATGCAAAGCCCCTACAGGCCTCAATTCAAATCACTCTCCTCCACTCTAGCCCAGCAGACCACATGACTCACACACACGCGTTCCAAGAAGCCCTATCAGATCTTGTCCCGTCATCCCAGGCTGTAACTTAAGAACTCAGACCCCTCCTAGGATGATGTCTATTAATCCCAGGGCAGCCATAACTATAGTCACCATACAGTAACTGACACTCTGTTGAAAGGGACCACACTAAGTTTAACATAACGTCCCATAATAGTACCAGAAGTTTAGGAGGAACAATGCAGAGAAGACACTCATTTGAAAAACTTAGCTTTCTCTCTAAAGAATTCCAGTTGTAACTTACTGACAATGAGAAAAGCCACTTGATCTCACAAAATAGCCTAGAGTAAAACAAATCTCATTCAGAAGGACTGATCTCCTTTGATTTCATTTGTAGCTATGACCTCTGTGGAGTGATTATTTACAATGTGAAAAGTATTTTGATGCTGAAATTTTATTCTGACCTGCATTTTGGGGTCCTCCATAGAAATCTTCAAGCCTTGACTCCAGTGGCCCAAGGATTCCTAAAACAAACAAAAAAAAAGAGTGTAAATTGCAAACAAGATGGTTAAATTTGGCATTAGTTAACACTGGATGTCAGCAAAGTCCAACCAAACTTGAAAGTAAGGTCAGTCTTTAAGAATTAAATTAATCCCTTTACCTCAATCTTTTCCTTTATAAACCATAAGCTATATCCATTCTCTTCCCATATTCAGAGTTGCATGTCTAGACAAAAGGCTGGACACACCAGAGTGTGAATTGCATCTTCTTCCCCCCTCCCACTTCATCTACAGCCTAAGTTTCCATTTTGACATCAGGATGTGAATCACGGGATCTATGAAGAGTGTTGCAATGTTAACCTTGTACAGAGAAACAGATGACTGACCTATTTTAGTAGCTCAATGTGAAGCACACTGCCATCATCACCCTACCTTCAAGTGGCTTACCTCAGGAATTCAAGAGAAAAGTACACAAAGGGATATTCATCCCAGTGACTGGTGACATGAACAAGTGACTCTCTCATCATAATAATCCCTCATGCATGTCTGGGCTTGACTGCGTACAAAACAATTAAGCAATATTACATTTTATTTGCTCTCCCTGCCACCTGCCCAGCACTCTTCCCTCACCTTTCTGGTGGAGGCATCCTTCTCCTTCTTTGGAGGCATACAGCACTGGCGAGGGCTGCTCCCAGGTTCCAGTCCTGGGCGGGGCTCAGCTTCCGGGGCAGCACGCCTTTCGGCAGGATCGCTACTGCCTGACCTCCTTCTCTTCCTGTGTGTCTCCAGGCCAGGGCTCTTTGTCTCTTCCTCAAACTCTATAATATACGGATAAAGTTCATTCACCAGGTAGAGGACCTGGCCAGGCTGCAGCTTCACCTCCTGGTCCTTCCCAATTATGACTGAGTCAATGCTGGTGGGATTGACCCCTACCTATGGAGTAATCAGAAAATGATTATAGTAGCAGTAGTAATATAACATCATTAGTAATACAGCTACTCCTATGTTCACCACTTACTACATGCCCAGTACTATGCTTAATATTCACTTCTGTTATTCTGTCACTTCCACACATGACCAAGGAGCCTTTACTGGCTGCCACAGACACTCTAAAGTCAACAGTATAAGACAATCACCAAGTAGAACATGGAAATCCAAGATACAAACAGACATACCTGCTTTACCTTGACATAGCCTTTGTTACACTCTGCTTTCAACTGTACTGAAAGAGATTGAAAAAAGGTAAACCCAAATGCCATGAAGAACCAGCAACTTGTTCCTATTATCCCTACAAGACAATGAAGCCTCCCTCTAGGAAGCAATGTGACAAGGGTTTCCTCAAAGACCCATGAGCAAAATCATTCATTATTCAGGGGACTAGGGCTCCAGGTTCTTCCATACAGTACCCAACAGTGTGCATGCTCCCTCAAGCACTGCTAGTATCTCTATAAGGCAGAGTCACTGAATCCTCACAAGTCTCCCTAATTCAGAGCCCCTGACCCACTTGGGATTATAGGCTCTGAAATCAGGGAATGGAACCCAATTCCCTCACAAGCTCTTATAGCTCAGGATCAAATCAGACTTCTATTACATGACACGATCGGAACCCTTTAACAGAGAAAGAGGTAAAAGATATATTCCTGGGAAACTGAAGTTCAGCTAGCCTTGGGTAGGAGGAGTGCAGAGACTATTCTAGAAAGAGGACTGCTGGGTCAGAACAGTCTGAGCATGTGTGGGAAGAAGTTAACACCAAACATCTGGGTTCAGATATGTGAACAAAAAAATTCTGGCAAGAGACAGGGAGCAAAGGAGAGACATCCTAGCTTCTCTCCAGGGAGGACAGGCAGGGGATGGGCTGACATACACACCCCTACAGCTGCTGTCATGACAATGGGGACAGAGAGCAAGAAGTGATCTCTTTTGCCCATTTATATTAACATGTGGGGAAAACTAGAATCACTGTTGCAGACTCCAAGTCTCAAGAATCCCTGCCACGGGGAACACACTGCAGGGGAGGCCTGGGAGCAGTGAGCACGTCTGGAGTTTACAGGTTAAAAAAAAAAAAAAAAGGCACATGGTAAAAATTCTTCCTAAGGACTTTCATTTCATTAAATTCCAGAAAAGACAGTCCAAGGGTTAGGTGCCATCATCTTTTAAAGACAGCTCCCTCTGTGTACAGCAAAGTGTAAAGGATGAAACCATCACTTCTCAGACATGGTTTCAGCCTGGAAATCCCAGAATTCAGCTGTCTCCCTGCCCAATGAGGAACCTCCTTGGGCAAAGCGGAGCAAGGACTCAGCTCCACCACCCCATAGTACAGGATGGAACCTGCCTGCTCCCAACACTGAATATGAACCCACTTTCAGAGGGTGGAATCAGGAGTGCACAGAGCCCTGTTATCAGCCAAAAGAGCTCAGTTGCTGAGTTTTGATTTGGCACGGAAAAGGTTTTCATCAGTAGCATTCAGGGAAAGTGCATCTTTGATGATCACTATCTGCAGGAACCAAACACAGTAATCTCCACAATCCTGGGACCAATTACCTTGCTGTCGAGAACACTTCTTGTCGGTGATCTTGGTCTCTGGACTGCGCCCAACCATGACTGCTTCCAAATGTGGGAGTTTGATTCGCTGGTGCCGGTTGTCCTGTCTCACCAGCCAGCACGCCCGCGTCATTACTCTGAGTGACAAAACACAAGAGAAGCCCTGGAAAAACTAGAACTTGTCCTCCCGGGCCACACCCAGCACCAGCACACACGCCATTTCCCGGCTGCTCATTCTCGAGGCAAGCGGCTTCACCTCCCTGGTCTGAATTTCCTCACCTATAAAATGGGATAACAACAGGACTCATGCAGGAGTCGTGAGGATTAAAGAAGATAAAGTGGGTAACATATTTACTTCTGTGCCTGAATCATGTTATGCAATCAAATATTTGTTATGTTTTTTGATACACTGTGCATGCTGGACATTAAGCTACCTGCTGAGGATCAAAGAATGATGAAACACTGTCCCTACCCTTCAGGGGCCTAGAGTACAACAGGGCAGACTCATATACCAATTATTACAACATAATGCAATGCCTACTATAAGGGAGTAGCCATATGGCCTTAGCCCTGGGAAAGGAATGACTGACTCCTGTAGGGAGTATCAAAAAAAAGCTTCATGAGGAAGGTATATTTACACTTGGGTTTTAAAAGACAAGCTTGCCTGACAGAGAACTGAGGACACAAGAACAGAGGATGTTCTCCACAGGCATCAAGGTTTCTAGTCCTTAACTGTCATAACATACAGATGTTGGAACAATACATTGTACTGCCATCTGCCAGAAGACTGTCATAATAAATAAACAAACCTACTATTTCTAAAGTGTGATTACAGCACCTTTATTCGATACACAACCTGCACTGACACTACTACAGGTGCTGATACTTTTGTAAAACAACTTTCATGATGACTTAGAGTTATCAGTAGATGAGAAAGAGAAGAAACGCGGGAGAGGGGAGAGGCCTAAACAAAGAGGATGAAGAGGAAAAAGCCAGGAAAAACTGTGAGGGTGACTTACTCCTGACTGCACTTGGGGAATAACAAGGGAGACAGCAACCAAGATGTTTAATTTGGAAATACTCATTAACCAAAATGAGGAATACACAGAAAACATAACTTGGGAATAAAAGATAAGTGAAGAAAGGATGATTTCAGATTGAAACACAGTTAGATTAAGTTGTCTATGGAAGATGTTAGAGTCACACTGGGATATACAGTATAAAGCTCAAAGAGGGGACGGGATGGGGGGATAATTTTTTTTTTGAGACTAAAAAGTGTTTTATTTGGAGTCTTAGGAATTGCAATTTGGGAGACACAGTTTCAAGTAAACCTGAAAGTGTTTCAAGGGAAGAGAGAGAATCAGAGGCTTATAAAGGCAAAGGTTGTTAAAGCTGTAAGAATTATGACCAGCTCTGACACAAAACAGAAATATTTGTCTTTAATTCAATGTATATATTTGAGAGGCATCAGTATGTCACAGAATTTAGGATAAGAGGATGAGATCACCCAGGGAGGCAGAGCAGGGAACTGAGAGGGATAGGACTAGATCTTTGGGACGCTTCCCTCAGTTCCAGAAGCTTATCAATGCTCAAGCCTCTAATGTCCTCTCTCTGAGAAATGCCTTTTGCAGGCAAGGCAGCACTTAATCAGCCCCTCTGCACAAGCTTTGTATCCAAAAGGAATGGAAAAGAAACCATATTTTTAAACATCGGAGTTTCATTACCATTTACAAAGATAGGATAATGCGAGTCAGAGTGAAAAAATGAGTGCTGAGGACAAGCAGTCACATAAACTGAATCAATCAGGGCAGACTTCGGAAACTGTGCAGGAGAAAAGGCCAAGAGCCAAGAGGACTGATAAGGAAGAAAAGGAGTGGGAGTGGACATTCCATTTCAAAAAGCACTTACACATTGAAATGGACATTTTCCATTTCAAAATCTGTGACCATACAGATTTCAATAGTGACAAGCCATGGGTGAGGGGTGAGCAGCCGACCTTAGTTGGCTGACCCAGAGGAACTGCCCCAGAGAGTCACCAAAACAAGGCAAAGGTGTTGAAAGAACAGTAATAGGCCATAAAATTTAACAATCCATAGGAGACCACTGCCAGGGTCTGGGTTGCACAGCGAGGTGAAATGACGCTGTGTGTAGGCAGGCTGGAGTGCAGAAATCTAGAGTCAGCTATCAGTCAGGAGGCTGTTAATGTAATGTGGGCCAGTGTTAGGTCTAAGAGGCAGCTCCTCTGTGAAGAAGCTCATGCAAGAGCATGAAGAGTCAGCTGTAAATCTAAAATCCTTGACCCAGGGCGTCAAGTGATGATGGTGCTACAGGCAAGCCCCACTTTTAAATGCTATGTGCTCAAAGGGATCTCTGTTTGCACTTGATGGAAACTGATGAATGAGCAGTGAAGCACGTCTTCATTAAGCATTGAGAAACAAGTCATGTGGTGACTGACAACTCACAGGAATAATAAAAGGAGCCTGGAGAGAGAAGAGCTGAAGAGCAAGGACAGGAAGGAATCCAATGGGCAGCTGAGAACATGGCTGACTTTTGCAGGATAAGAGGAACTCCCCCTCCTGCCCTACACACACACACACTCAGGTGCTTCAGTCTCCCTAAGGTTCTGACGTTATAATGCTCCCATTTACTACTCCTTGAGAGACTGAAGCAGTGATGACACAATGCTTATGTAACTAACCTTAAGCAGTATCTTGGTCCGTTTCAGCCTACAGTTCCAACTTCTAGGAATGAAGTATTTTAGAATATGGGGAGCACAGAAAGATGGCTGTTTATGAATTGTCAATATAACCCATCCAGTAAAACCCCATAAACTGCCAGCTCTATGACAGCATAAGTCTCACTGTACTGTATGATGCAGGTATACTGTAATACATCATACCTGCCCTCGAGAGGCTGAGTCTTGGGGAGGACAGAGATTTGTTGCAGGACAACTGCAACAAAGGTGAAAGGTATAATGACTGGTCTATGAAAAGGGTTTTTGTGGGAGCACAAAGCTGGAATACTCCACCTAGCCTTGGAAAAAGGAGGTGTCAAGGAAGGTTTCCTGTAAGAGATGGGCCTAAAATGAGACTTATATATGAACTGGCTTAATTAGGTCAAAGTGGGCAGCCTAATTAGCTGAGGAGCAGGAAGTGGAGGAAGGAATCAAAGAGAAGATTCCAGTCAAAAGGAATAGGACAGTGCACACACATGAAGAAGCAGTTCAGGGCTGCTGCAACCTTTTAAAGTATGAGGTCCATATGAGGCTGGAGATGCAGGCAGGTCCAGATGAACCAGAGCCCTGGGTGATGGGTTGAGAAGCTCAAACTTTAGAAGGTCGAATGGGTTTTGCAATTTAGTAAACAATAAATATTTGCTTAATGAGAGAAAAGATAGGATGAATGAAAGGACAGATCTTTAAATATTATTAAGCAGGACTCTGACTCAGGTTTGTTTTCAAGGATCATTGGGAGGATGGTAGGTAGTGTAAAGAATAGTTATGCAAGGAATTGATCTAGAGGCAGGGAAACCAGTTAAAATGCCATATTTCAGGTGAAAGAAGGTTCAAAGTAAGACATTAATACAGACAAAAAAAGAACTGATTTGAGAAATACTTAGAGGGTAAAATCAACAAGACAGTGATGGATGTGCTAAGAGTAAGTGCAGAGAAGACAATATTTGAACAGTCCGTGGGACTAGCACTCGGAGGTGTCCAGCAGGGTAGCCAGAGGTGAGAATGAAACTCAGCAGAGGTCTAAGCTGACACTTTAATTGGGGAGCATACAGGAAGGAGTTAAAGCCATGCTAGTTGATGTGCTCATTCAAGCAGTGTGTACAGCATAAAAAGAACAGTGGGCCAAAGTCACAAGCCTTGGAAACACCCAACATTTTAGACAAGGAGGGAAGATTATCCACAGGAGAAATTACTGGTGAGGGAAGCTCTCAGGGGAAAAAAAGCTAAAATGTAAGCTCTTCAAGGGAAGGAGGCACTTTGATGTGTTCATCTGTATATCACAATAAATGTTTGTTGAATAAATCAGCTTAGTGTACTGTCTTGAAAAGCAAAGGAGTAAAAAGTATCACCATGTTTGAAAAGCAACAAAAGGATCCAGTAATGATCGAAAGTGTGAGTCACTCAGTCATGTCCAACTCTTTGTGACCCTACTGTGACCCACCAGCCTCTTCTGTCCATGGAATTCTCCAAGCAAGAATACTGAAATGGGTTGCCAATCCCTTCTCCGGGGGATCTTCTGGACCCACGGATCGAATCCTGGTCTCCTGCATTGCAGGCAGATTGCTGTAGCCCACAAGGCTCCTCTGCCCACGGAATCTCCAAACAAGAATACTGAAACGGTTTGTCATTCCCTTCTCCAGTGGATCTTCCTAACCAAGGGATCGAACCCTGGTCTCCTGCACTGCAGGCAGATTCTTTACCATCTAAGCCACCAGGGAAGTGTAATGATCAAAGAATGTATATTTGGTTTGATAATAAGTCACTAGTGACTACTGTATAAAATTTTAGGGGAATAATAGAACTGAAAGCCAGACCACAGAAGGGAATGAGAGGTAGGGTTGGATACAGAATTTAGAATGCTCTTTAAAACGTCTGGATAAGAAGAGAGTTACTGTATGCGAGCTAAAGGAAGATGGATCACCAGGAACTTTTTCTTTCTGGCTTGGGGGATAAGGAGCAGGGATCTGAGTAACCTGACCTTGTTTATACATGACTGGGACATAGACAAGGGAAGAAAAGACAAATGAAAGCACGGTTTCATGGGGAAAATACAAAAGAAAGGTCAGAAGTAAAGGTAAAGGAATTTGTTTTGATCAGGAGACAGCTCATCCTCTGATACTGAAGGAAAGGTATAGATAGGTGGTATCAACCTTGATGAGTGTATGAAGAGAAAGCAAGGGTAGAAACTTGAGGAGAAGCACATCAGATAAGCTCAATTTTCTCCCTAAAATAGCAGATAACAACTGGGCACTTGAGAAACAGCTGAAGACAATCAATGTAAATTAGTGAACAACATCCAGACCTCTGAAATCCAACTGCTCGCGTTCAAATCTTCCCTCCACCACTACTCACTGTATAATTTGAGGCCAGTTATTTAAGCTAAGTCTTTATTTCTTCAGCTGGAAAACGATATTAATTATGGCTCTACACCACACTGTTGTCACAAGGGCTAAATTAAGATGTAAAAAGTTCAGCATCTGGCAAAACACCAGCATTCAACACCATTACCACTCTCGTTAATAGTAAAGTTAGGATGAAAACATGCGCTATAAAGAAATGTTAAAAGATCATCCGACAACACTGCTTGCAACGAAGGTGACAGGACACAAATATTGTCTCCCTGAAGAGAGGAGTCCTGTCCCCAGTGTTCTAATGGCTCCCGATATATATCAAATTCTCAAAAGGCTCCAAACCTGGACCACATTAATTCCACATGGAAATTATAGCCTTGCTTTGTTGAACCGCTAACACTGGTCTGCACAAGAAAAGGCTTGATTCTTCTGGTCTTCCTACAAGGCCAGCTGTGGATGCTGTGAAGGGCCCCCAAGTTCCTCTCAAGGAGCGTTTCTGGAGAAAACAAAGTCCCTGCTGACAGGCTACGAAGCCTCCTTGGGTCAGACAGTGCCTTTCTTCTGCCTGTGTTCCGACTAAGCTAGGTTCAGGTGTCAGGCGCACAGGTGAACCAACGCGAAGTGCAGTGAAGACCAACAAAAGCGCCGCCAGCAGCCGAAAACACGGCAGGAGGGAAATGGGAAGCCCAGGGCTGCCCGAGGGTGGAGCAAAGCCTGCTGGGCTGCCGGGAAAGAGCCGAGAGAGCGTTATTCAGGGGACATTACTCTGGGGTTGTAGCGGACTCGACTGAGGCCCACACTCACGGCTCTCAACACGGCAGGCAGACGAGGTAGGCCGACAACCGCCTTACCTCCAGACGGCTAAGGCCGACAAGCTCACGTTACTCCTCCACTTCCGGCGCTGCAGGATGACGTTGCAAGACAAACTGGACCGCAACCTGTGACGTTTCCAGTTCCTGTCGGAAGACTGACTGAGGATCTCGCCAGATGCCCGGATAGGGAAGTGCCCGCCCCATTTGGTCCCGAACTGGGCCGTAGTCCAAGTTTGGTTCCTGGCAGTTAACCAAAAAACGACGAGTTCTCCCAGGTCCCCTCTATCCGAGAGCCGCTCCCCAATCACCTCTTAATCTCTGAATCGGGAGACACTTCAGGCAGCTATCCTCTCGGTGGCCGCTTCTAGGCAGCTATGCAGCATCTTGATTTTCCCTTCATAAGGAAAAGCTCACTACCTTTAAAGCCACCGTTTCCGCTGTAGACAGAACCTGCTTGTGGCATTGTTTTCCCGCACCCTTTCGAAGCTACAATCGGCTTTCTCCTTTTCCGAGAAAGGTCTGAAGGGGCCAGAGGTGGAGAAACCTTTTAAGATTTTTTAATGCTGTCTTCACTGAATGAACTAGCTGAGGGGCTGTCAGGGAGGAGAAAAGCAGGATGTTGGAATGAGATGTTTACTGATTTTTATGACAGTTCCAGGATGTTCCCTAAGAGTCATGAACTGCAAGAATTTGAAGGCATTCTGGCAGATAGGAAAATTGTATCTCTTTTTGAATATCGTTTCCTTACATAGAGATTTAGTGGTAGGAGGAGAAGGGGACAACAGAGGA